CTACTACTACTACTACTACTACGAGTACTACTACGAGCCCTACTACTACTACGACTACTACTACCACTACTACTACTACTACTACTACCACTACTACTACTACGGATACTACTACTACTACGGCGACTACTACTAATACTACTACGACTACTACTACCACCACTACTACTACTATTACTACGACTACTACTACTGCTACTACTACTACTTCTACTTCTACTTCTACTACTACTACTACCTCCTACTACAACTACTACTAGTACTGCTACTACTACTCATACTACTACTACTGCTAGTAATACTACGACTGCTATTACTACTACTACTGCGACTCCTACTACTACTACTACGACCACTACGACTACGGTAAGACTACTACTACAACAACTACTGCTACTACTACTACTACTATTACTACTACTAGCACTAGTAGCAGTACTACTATGACAACGACTTTTACTACGACTACTACTACTACTACTACTACTACTACTACTACCACTACCACTACTACTACTACTACTACTACTACTACTACTACTACTACGACTACTACGACTACGACTACTGCAACGTCTGCTACTACGCGTACTAATAGTACTAGTAGTAGTAGTACCACTACTACTACTACTACTACTACTACTACTACTACTACTACCTCTACCACCAGTACTACCGCAACTGCTACGACTACTACTACGACGGCTCCTACTGCTACTACTACTACTACTACTGCTACTACTACTACAACTGCTACGGCTACTACTACTACTACTATTACTACTACTACTCCTTCGTCTACTACTACTACTACTACTACTACTACTACTACTACTACGACTACTACAACTACTACTACTACTACTACTACTACTACCCCGGCGACTACTACTACTACTACTACTACTACTGCTACTGCTACTGCTACTGCTGCTGCTGCTGCTACTACTACTACTGCTGCTACTACGACTACTACTACTACTACTCCTACTACTTCTACCACTACTACTACTACTACTACTTCTACTACTACTACTTCTACTACTACTACTACGGATACGACTACGAGTACGACTACTACTACTACTACTACTACTACTACTACTACTACTACTACGACGACGACGACGACGACGACGACTACGACTACTACGACTACTACGACTACTACGACGACTACTTACTACTACTACTACTACTACAACTACTGCTACTGCTACTACTGCTGCTACTGCTACGACTACGACAACACAACTACTACTACTACTACTACTACTACAAATACTACTACAAATACTACTACTTCTACTCCTGCTACTACTACTACTACTACTATTTCTACTACTACTACTACTACTACTACTACTACTACGACTACTACGACTACTACTACTACTACTACACACTACTGCTTCTACTACTACTACTACTACTACTACTACTACTGCTACTACTACTACGACTACTACGACTACTACTACTACTACTACTACCACTACTACTACTACTACTACTACTACTACTACTAATACTACTACTACTACTACTACTACTACTACTACTACGACTACTACTACTACTACTACTACTACTACTACTACTACTGCTACTGCTACTGCTACTGCTACTGCTACTGCTACTGCTATTACTACTACTGTTACTACTACTACTACTACTACTACTACTACTACTACTACTACTACTACTACTACTACTACTGATTCCAGGTGGAAGTTACTGTGGCCACTTTTGCCTGCGCGGGAAGGCATTCCCCTAAGATTTGCGAATCTCTCCAAATCTAAGATGAGATACCTTCACATCTTACTTTTCATTGAACGGCCAGCGCGGGCCACCATAACTCCCCTCCGGCCGCGCGACGGGCCGCACTAACACCTAACGGGCCACGCTAACACCCACGGGGCCACAATGACAACCGGTCGCCCCGCCCACCCCACCCCCCCTCCAGGGAGTAGGGGAGAAGGAAAGGAGAGGCGGACACGCGAGGATCAAAGTGCTGGTGGAACACATTGACAGAATGACCGGCCCCAATGAACTAATGAGAGCAAATATCTTCTTGAGATTCTCACCACATGTTCCGAATATTCGCCGCAATTCCCGCTGCACGTTTACGCAGCGACTCCTAAAATTGCAACTTTCCCTGCAATTTCATGGCATGCAAGACACGTCAAATCCTGCAGCGCGCGGGTGCCTCTTTGTTCCGCTGGCGGTGGTCCTACGAGTGCCTACTGTGGCCCCGCGCCGGGAAGCGGCCGCTCAGGCCCGCTGGAGTTAAGTCGGGCGTGTCCCCCTACAGGGGGATTATGGGCGAAAGATAAACAATACTCAAAAAAATCCACCCAAAATGCTCAAGAATAGTCAAAACATCGTCCCCATACTATTTTTTGACTATTTTTTGACTATTTGGGACACGCCCGACTTGACGCTGAAGATGCTCAGGAAGGGGCGGTCGCGGCGGCGAGGGCGACCAAGGCGGGCCCCCTGTGGGCATGCCGCGATGGGCCCTCGGTCCTGCTCCTTCTCTACGTCGTCTTGTGCTCGAGGACCTGCCGTCCTGGGCCTATCCAGACCCAGGTCGGTCAGGCGCTGCAGGATCCTGCAAGACCTGCAAGATCGAGCGCTCTGACTGCTCACCGTGTGCATGGACCCCCGTCTCAAGGCCCCCGGCTCGCGCAAGGACCGACAGTCCGGGCAGTCCAGCCCGCCTATACCAAGGAAACTGTCCCAGAACAGAAACACATTGCAATAGCAGAAACGTTCATCTCAGACCATGGAGCCGATGGATCAAAAGAAAACTGAAGCAGCCAGGATTTGTCTGACATGTCGGGCAACCCGCAATAAGTTATTAGAACATTATTGGGTGACCATATGGACAGACTAAAACGCTTCGTCTTCCTCGTCGCCCCCCGACTGGTCGCCAGGGTCCCTGGTAGGATTCACATGGCTCGCCTGCATGGCTCCAGACCCTCCTGCTCCCTTCCTCTCCTGGCTGCTGCACACTTGTTTGAATATTTCGACGCTTGTGCCACCGTCCCGCTCGGCCCCGAGAGATCCGAGAGGTCTCCGCCTCCAGCATGCTTCATGGGTCGGCTGTGGCGAGACGGCCATTCCTCCGGCTCCTCCCCCCGATTGAAGCGAGCCGACAGGGGGGACTGGCTCAGGGAAGGGAACATCGAGCTGGAATCGGTGATTCGCCACCGATAGACAAGCGATCGGCCCTCGATGGCATGTCCGCACGTTGCTGGGCGGGGCGGGCGACCAGGCCTGTCAGCCCATCGTGGTCGATGCACGTACGATTGGATGTCGATGCGTTTCCCCATGCGCCTGACCCCCCCCCCCGATCGTTGCCCCTGACAACAGCGCCCAGCGCGTGGAGCGCCCCGCCAGTGGTGGCGCCAGAGGCGCCTCTCGAGACGGAAGTGGACCTCATCCCAAACGTCTGACTGCAGAAGAAGGACAACAGGCATAACCATGTCAGCCAGCGAGGGCCCCGAACTGTGTGTTATTGCACTGTGGAGGCGGAACCGATGCGATGTAAGCTATGAGGTGAAATCAATGTCGTGTAAATTATGTGGCGTGTCGTGAGCTATGGAGGCGGGAAGTATGAATCGTAAGCTATGTGGTGGATCCTAGGTCGTGTAAGCTATGCAGTGTGAACTGGGGGTGGACGCTATGGCTAGTGGGCGCAAGCTTCTTGAGTCAAGATATGCTGCGTAAGCGATGCGATGCAAATTTCGTGCAATAAACTGTGCTGTGTGAGCTACGTGGTGCAATCTGTGCCGGGCAAGCTCCTAGCAAGGGGCGCCCACGAGGCGGAACGGGCAGCAACGCGGCACGACCTCGGGAAGCCCCCCCCACCCCCCCGGCGCACGCACCGACCCACGAGGCGTCCTCGAGGCGGCGCGGGCCACAGCGCAGCGCACCCTCGGGCAAGCCACACATGCACGGGGGGCGCCTACGAGGCGACCGCCAGGTGGCACGGGCAGCAGTGCGGGGCAGCCACGGGCAACCCACACGTGCACGGGGCGCCGGCGCCCGCGAGGTGGCACGGGCGGCAACGCGGGGCAACCTCGGGAGAGCCACCCGTGAACGGGGCGCCGACGAGGCAGCCGCGAGGCGGCACGGACGCAGCGAGGGGCGAAACCTCGGCAGACACCCCCCGAGCGCGGGGCGCCCACTGCACGGCACGGGCGGCACCGTGGCGAAACCTCCGCACACCCCCCGAGCGCGCGGCGGCCACGACGCGCACACGAGGCAGCACGGACGGCAGCGTTGCGAGACCTCGGCGTACCCCAGGCGTGGGGCGCCCCCCAAACTCGAGGCGGCACGGGCGGCAACGTGCCGAAACCATGGCATAGCCCCAGGGGCGGGGCGCCCACGAGATGCCCGCGAGGCGGCTCGGCGGGCGGCGGCAAAGTAGCGAAATTCCGGGAAACGCAAACAATTGCTCAACAAAACAAGGAAAACTCCGGAGTGCTGCTGGGAAACAAACTTCTGGAAGTCCGCGCGGGATTCTAGGACGGGGTCCGGGAAGGCTCTGGAGGCGCCGCCAGGGGGAGCGAGAGCAAATCAAAGAAATCCGAGCGAACCTCCAACAATGTATGATTCATCGATGCTGTAGCTGGAAGCCTCCCAGGTGGGGTCGGGAGATCGCGCCGTATCGGCGAGGCGTCGCCGATGCATGGGCACTGCATCGGCGACGTCGGCGATGCATCGCCGACGCCGGCGTGGAGAAAGAATGGCACCGCAAGCAGCCGCATCGGCGATACGGCGGCGCTGCCGCGCGATCCTCTGACCCAATCCACAGCCGAAACAGGGGCACGAGAGCGCGAGCCTCCTCGCCGAGGGATCGGGGGCCCGTAGAGATGCCCCAAACGGGGACCATCCCAAGCGGGAGGAGGAGGAGGAAGAGGAGGAGGAGGAGGAGGAGCAGCAGCAGCAGGAGGAGGAGGAGCAGGAGAAGGAGGAGGAGCAGCAGGAGGAGGAGGAGGAGGGGAAGGAGAGGGAGGAGGAAGAGGAGAGCCCAGACACGTAAGGCACGGGCTAACAGCCGGCGCTGTACTCAGCCCTCGTGCCCGGCTGTGCTCGGACACCCCGTCTGTTGGCACGCCCAGACGGGACGGAGCAAGTGTTGTCCAAGTCCGATGGCGGCCGCTGCTTGGCAAACTGACGCGCCAGCATCGGCAACAACTCGAGCGGTGAGGGATGTTTTGGGCAGAGGGGCTAGTAGGGTAGAGTGCAAAGGGTGCCCCTGAGAGAAATGGCAAAGACGGAACACTGCACGTAGACAAAAACGTCTCACATCGTGAGACTCTCAAGACGCATGAAGATCATGCTCAGGCTGGAGACTTCCTCAAAACGCCTTTTTGCGTCAACTGGACACCGTCCGCGACGACACCGACAGCGATTTCCGTTCAAAATAAACACGCTTCGCTGTCGATCTTCGTAACCATCCTTTCCGTACCCATCTCGATCCCCCCTCATCTGGGAGGCCTGGAGTCGGCGACTCCGACGGGTGTGGTTTGGAACGATGTGGTTTGCAACGGGCACCCTGGGGGGGCCTCCTGGTGGGCGGGCGGGGACCTCGACAGAGCTTTCCTGCCGTGCCCCGAGGAGGCCCGACGAGGACAGCGCCGTGGCCCGCAGGCCCCGACGGTGACGATCGCAAACGCAGAGATCCGTCTTCGTGATTCTTCAATGCGGGGCCCCCGGAAGCCTGGACCCCTTCCCAGAGTCCGGTTTTTCATCCTGAGTCGTCCTTTGACGGCCCTGGGGCCCGTCGAGGGCCTTTAGATCTCTAGAGGCCGACACTGGCGAAAGACCTCCGTCTTGATACCTTCGGGGGCAACCAGAGGTACCGATACCGCTGCTCCCCAGACCTCTCCAGGGGTGCGTTCTGACCAGAATTTCGAAGCGAATCCAGCGCTGGCAACGAGGGCCGCCCAGGAGGCCCAAAACAAGGGAAAACGAGGGGAGGGTATATATATATATATATATATATATATATATATATATATATGGGTACTTGCTCCTCCTCTGATGTACAATACGCTGGACGTCTGGGAAACAAGCCCCGGCGCAACTATACCCTTTGTGGGCGCCAGCGGGGCGGGCCTTTGCAGGCGGGGTGGCCCGGGCGACGGGGCGTAGTCGTCGTCGTCGTGGCGGTCGTCGTCGTCGTCGTCGTCGTCGTCGTCGTCGTCGTCGTGGTGGTCGTGGTCGTGCTCGTGGTCGCCGCGGGCAGGGCCCTGTCCGGTCAGCCCCCACCGCTCGGCCCGCCGCCGACGGCGAGCTCGGTCCGCCCGCGGGCACCGGGGGCGGTCGCTCTATGCACAGGCGCTGCGGCGCGGGTCGCCCGCCGCAGGCGGGCGGGGGCCGGGCCGGCTTCTCGGCGGAGAGGGCGGCTCCCTTTGCGAGGCGGGGAGCGCTCAGGACCAGCGCCCAGGGAATTCGCCGGCCCAACGGGTCAGCGGCGTGCAAAGATCTCCAGTGACTTCTTTACAATAGTTCTACTTCGCGCTCGCGGGGCGGCCCCTGGGGTCCCCGGAAAGTACCCCGGGCAAGTCCTGGGCGACTCGGGTCGGAGATGGTTTTCCTCCTGGGCGCCGCCCTCGAGGCCGTCCAGAGAGCCCCAAGAAAGGCCAAGAGGCCGCCGAGAGCCCCTCAAGATGATACAAGAGAGCTTCGAGATGCCACAAGATCCCTCCAAGACGCCCAAGATAACCCCCAGACGGCCCAAGAGGCGTCCAAGAGCACTCTCAAGAGGGCCCAAAGAGGCACCAATCATTGCGTTTCCTTAGGTTTTGGAAAGATTTGGGCGTTTCCACCTTCCCGACGCCCCCAGATGGACCAAGAGGCCTCCAAGACGACCAAAGAGGCCTTCAAGACGGTCCAAGAAGGCCCCAAGAATGCCCCCAGAGGTCCCAGGAGGGGAACACGAAACAGCATGTCGAGCCCTCGGCCCTAAGAAGCCCCCAGGAGTCCCCAAGAGGCCCCTAAGAGGCCCCAAGTGGCCCCCAACACGCCCTCGGGAGGCCCCCAAGAGGCCTCCCAGCGGCCCCAGCAGGCCCCCCAAATGCCCCCCCGAGCACGCAAGCAAGTGCCAACGACCCGACGCGTGTAAGAGTCCGCAAGAGGCCACCCAGAGGACTCCCGAAACAGTCCCCATGGGCAAAACGCTTCCAGACGGCCCGCGACGCGTTCAAGACTCCCCCAGCGGCCACCAAGAAGCCTCACATGCCGAACGCAAAGCCTAATAAAAACAGCCGCCGCCCCTGCAGCTCCGCAACGCGAAAAAACACCCGGTTCGTCGACAACGGCGCACAAGATGGGCCAGCGGAATGAGCGAAGCGATTCAATAAACCCTCGGGGACCTCGGCAAGCGGCGGACGCGGATACATGTTGCCGCCCCCTCCCCCCGGCCCCACATATGCATACATATGTAAAAAGTAGATTTATGTATGAAACACATATATATATATATCTATATATATATATTGAGTATGGAAATGCACATCTATATATATATATATATATATATATATATGTGTGTGCATACATCGATGTGTTTGTAAAACGTTATATTCACATATCACGCCCCGTTCCAATGTAGAAGAGGCCCCAAGCGTCCCAAAAGAGGCCCCCGGGCACCCGACTGGCTCCCAACAAGACGCCCAAAAACTGCCGTCCAGAGGCCCCCGAGATTGCCCCGGAAAGATCCCAAGAATCATCTCCGAGGACTCTGAATCACGTCAGCGTCGTCGTTCGTCGTCGCCGCTGACGTCGTCGTCGTCCCCCTTCAGGGTCGGCGGCACCGGCTTCAAGGCCTTCGCAATATATATATATATATATATATATACATATCCATACATACATACATGCACACATACATGCACACATACATACATACATACATACATACATACATACATACATACATACATACATACATACATACATACACACACATACATACATACATACATACATACATACATACATACATACATACATACATACATAAATATATACATACATCCATCCATCCATCCATCCATCCATACATACATACATACATACATGCATACATACATACACACGTACATACATACATACATACATACATACATACATACATACATACATACATACATACATACAAACATACATACATACATGCATGCATGCATGCATGCATGCATGCATACATACATACATACATACATACATACATACACATACACACATACACATATACCTACATACATACATACATACATACATACATACGTACATACATGCATATTTATGTACATGTATGTTGATGTACGCGTACACACTTGTCTATATTTCTATATACATACATGTATATATATGTATATATGTATTCATATATATATATGGATTTGTGTGTGTACTGAGTTGTGTATGCGTGAGTGCCCATGGTCGCTTCCATGCCCAGATCCACATCCGCCGCCCGCCAAAGTCCTCGACGACCACTCCACCCCGGGCGGTCCTCACCGCCTCGCGTACCCGTGGCAGCCGGGCCGCCCCGAGCGCCACTGCGCGGGCGTCAGAGCACCAGGCAGCTGCACGCCGGGCCGCGGACCTCTCGGGCAGCCGGCGTGCGGCAGAGGGGCTACTCCAGATTTCGTAATAAAAGGGAGGGGGTCTGGACTCTCCAAGACAAGCCATTTCAGACCTCCCCCGTGGGAGAACCCTCCAAAACATCGTCCCCATACCCCCCAGGCCCTCCAGGATAGCCTGGAAGAGACTCCCCCCGAAATGAGACCCCCCTCCCTTTATTACGAAATCTGGAGTACCGTTGTGCATGGCATGACAACGGACACTCTAACAGTCGCGCCATTGAATTCAAGTGTGTTTAACATGTGTAAAACATGCTCTAAAAATGTTTCAAACATGGTTTTACATATTAAAAGCATGTTTGAAACATGTTTTTAGACATGTGGAATGTATCAGGCAGCATGCTTCCTCTCCAGTGATCGTCCTCCACAATAAACCATGGGAGGGGGGCCCAAGGGAAGGGTATGGGAGCAGGGGGATTGGGAGCGCCGAGGGGAGGCAGGGGCGGCAGCGCAAGGATGGCGTTGGGGATACAAGGGTGGCAGAAGAAAGCCGACAGAGTGTGGGCGGCAGAGACTGAGGCCGTGCCATGCACGCCGGATGGCCGCGAGAAAGATACCCTCAGAGCGATGCACACGAAATGATACATGACGGTGTGAGGGAAGGTCCAGTATGAAGATAGGAACGCGCCGATGACAGACCGATCGCGAAACCAAGACGCACCAAGCGTTCGTGGACTACTGGGCCCAGGCAGCATCTAGTGCCGCGCGGGCTTATTCGCAGCCACGCACGCCCAGAGTGGAGCAACGAGCAACTTACCACTGGTGCACTGGAGGGTTGTTGGCTCCTGCTGGCATGGCGAAGGTGCGCAAACGAGCAAGTGAGCACTTGAGGTAGACAGGCAGTCCTGAGCGTGAAAGTCTGGCAAACAAGCACTTGAGCTGGACGCGCGTGCGGCGGATCAGCGCCGAACTGCCTGGAGGGCCTCCATTCACAGGCGGACGTGTGCGCCGCGACTCACTTTAGGGGCCTGCGAACATCGTCCGTCATTCTATGTACTGGTGTCGTCTGTCGTCTGCCACCGCCCCCGCGGCCCCTAGAAGCCTCCCCAGTATAGTCCAGTCGCCAGATGGAAAAACTCCTGCGGATCGACTCGCAAGAGTGAAAATTCTAACAGCGGACAGCAAGTAGTTATATACATGAGACGCGGCGGGCTGAGGTCATAGGATATCGCACACAGGACAACGACAAGACTGAATTTCTTGAGTAGAATGCACACAAAACACGCGTAACTAGCACCAAACTGCTATGTCACGCTGTAGACACGCCCAGCTTCAGAAGACACTCAAAGCGTGTGTGCAGAAGCCTGATACTCCTGCTGCTCGACTATGCGACGTGCCTACCTGGCATAGCTGGAGCTGAAAGTTCCAACTGCCTGCGAGCGTCCAATGACATTAATACCTTCTGTGTCGTGGAGAAGCGCTCGAATGAGATCTGCTCGCCGTCCCTGAACAGCACAGGCTTGTACTCCTCGGGAAGACCCTCCGTCGTCAACTGCTTGGTCTCGAACCGCTCGACGTTCGCGAGGAATCCCTGTATCTCGGCCCAACCAACAGAACAAACCCTGTGTTCACGTCTCGGTGTCCAGTCGTTGAACCCAGTGAAGGCCTCCACGAATCGAACGGCATCCTCTGAGGCAGTCAAATTCACAAATGAATAGCCGACGTGGTACCCGGACTCGAAGTCGATAGTCGGGTCGGGCGAAAAGGGGGGATAGCAAAGGGGGGGTTGGAGAATCAGCTCACGTAGCTGATTTTCCCGGCGCCTCCCGGCGCCGGAAGCGGCTATGTATCGAGGAATGGGCCCCTCGGTGAGGCCGAAACCAGCTGCATGCAGCAAATTTCGTAACCCCCCCTTTCCCAATCCCCCCCTTTCGCCCGGCCCGAGATAGGCAGGTAGAGGAAGTCGTACTTGCCCGAGAACCCCTTGGAGTCCAGCAGGTCGACCAGCATCTGGCGCGTGTAGCAGTAGGGCAGGTTGCGCATCATCACCGTGGTGGGCGCCGTGCCCGGCCCCGGAGCGCACCTGCCCCGCCGCCACCGCCACGCGCCAGCGGGGGAGCGGGGCGAGGCGCGCGGCGCCCCCGCCGCCTCGGGCACGGCCGCGGGGACGTAGGCGCTGGCTCTGGCGCTGAGGGGCGTGCGCTGGCCCGGGGTGCCAGCCTTCCTCGGGCAGCCCGTCGGCTCGCTCGCCCCCGTCGGGCAGCCCTGCGCCCCGCCGCCGGGGCGCTGCAGGCCAGGTGGCGGCCCCGCCTCCTGGCCCCGCGGCCGGAGCAGCGCCAGGAACCGATCGCCGTGGTGCGCAGGGCCCGGGCCAGGCGCGCCGTCGTCTCTGTGCAGGCCCCACAGCATGTTGAGGTCGTCACAGCTGGGGATGGCTCGTGCGGGCAGGCACTCTTCTCCCTCCGGGCAGACCCCGTCGCACGTGCCCTCGCCACGAGGATGCAAGTCGACATGGGCTTCGCGAGTCATGGCGGCACTGCTACGGCACCGAGGAATGCAGCGATCTCGCTTGCATATGTGAGACCGCGCCCTGCCAGTGTCGGCGGTGGGCCCTTGAGCCAGAAGGGCTCCCACAAGCTCGGAGCAGGACGAGACGAGACCACGGCAGCTCAAAAAATCGGTCCCCTTGCGCGGACTCTCGGCGGTCTTCGGCGGTCGTCGGCGGTCCTGACGGCGGCCCGACACGGTGTCCCGCAGTCTTCGGTGGCGTCAGCGGTTCGAAAGCCGGATCTTTCGCGCCATGAAAGGCTCCACGCTCGAGCACGTACACTCCCCAAGCCCCTCCTGGGGTCCGAGCACGCCGGGCCTCCCAGGCTGCTGCGCCCCGCCGCGGCGACGAGGGCCCCTCCCCACCAAACCGAAGGCCACCTGTCTCAGGCGCTCGCCCGCAGGCCGGAGAGAGGGCGACACCCTTCGGCGCTCACCAGCTGTGGCTGTCTTTATCCAAGCCGATCTGCTCACAACAACGGTGGCCTCGCCATGCTCGTCGAGATCCGCGGGCCGCACCGCCGTCCGAATTTGCTCTCCTCTCGGGGAGCCCAAGAGGGCTACTCCCTGGACCTCTCCCAGGAGTTCCAGGCGAATCCAGCGGTGGGGACGATGACCTCCCAGTCGGCTAAAAAAGAGGAAAACGAGAAGGGTAGCGGTATGGGTACCTTTTCCCCCTCTGATGTTCAATACGCCGGATCTCTGGGAAACACTGCCCGGCGCAACCATACTCTTTGTAGTCGCCAATGGGGCGGGCTTTTGCCGGCGGGGTGGCGGGGGCGACGGGGCGACGGGACGTCGTCAGCGTCGTCGTCATCGGCGTCGTCGTCGTCGCGGTGGTGGTGGTTGTGGTGGTGGGTGTGGTGGTGGTGGTCGTCGTCATCGTCCTCGTCGTCGTGTTCGCCGTCGTCGTCCCCGTCGTCGTCCTTGTGGTACGAAGCGAGCCGGCGCCAAGCCGTGGAGGCGCCTGCAGCCCTGGGCAGCCTCCGCCTCGGGCGGCCTCGGAAGAGGCGCCCTCCTCGGCGAAGAGCCTGGGGGGGGGGCGGCTCGGGGCGCCGGCCGCGGCCGCTCGCGGCCGAAGCAGAGGATGCAGGGGCGCGGGGGAGAAGTGGTCGACGATCACAAACGGATCCTCCTCGATCCTCCTCCTTCTGCTCGATCGTTCCTCCTTCTGCTCGATTCTTGCTCCTCCCTCCTCGATGCGCCTCCGCGATCCTCCGCGGCCCACCTCGATCCTCTCCGGTCCTCCCCTCCCCCGAGCTCTCCCCTGTCCATCCGGGCCACTACGTCGTCGATCAACCACGGGTCTTACGCGAGATGGCATAGAGACCTCACGCGGCAGCTTGCGCGGGCCGCCAGCGCGGCTCGCTGCGCTCGAGACGAGGGCGCTACCCGCGCGAACTTACGCGCGAATAACATGCGCGACCGCCGTCGCAATGGGACCCGTCTTTTCTGCGACGCTCGGGTGGGAAACTAGGCCACGTTCCTCTCTCCACGATTCCAAGACGACCTTACACATATGCTTACAAGCTCAGCGTTGTGTCACCTGACATCCTGCTCCCACACATCTCTCGGTTGGTCTCGCCTCCTCTCGCTCACCTGAGCGGGGACGTCTGGGGCTCAGTGGGCCCCGGAAAAGGGAAAGGCAGCTTGTTTACCGATTGCATAGGAAAGGCCGCAGCATGGAGACGGCTCTCATCGAGAGAGCGTGATCCACCGCCGCTTTACTGTGGAAAATTGCCAACATTTTCCTCCGGAACCTGGGGGTCTCCCCCCCCCCCCTCCGAAATCCCCCCCCCCCCCCTGCCGGAACCCCTCCCCCCCCCCCCCCCCCCCCCCCCTCCCTCCCGGCAAAACCCCCCCCCTCCCCTAACCCCTCCCCCCCCCCCCCCCCCCCTCCCGCTCGAAAACCGGGGGGGGTCACTACCGTTTCGAACCCCTCCCCCCCCCCCCCCCCCCCCTCCGGATCCGGAAAACCGGGGGGGGTCACTACCGGTTCGAACCCCCCCCCCCCCCCCCCCCCCCCCCCCCCCACCCCCCCCCCCCCTACTCACCGCCAGCAAACGACTCCCGGTCCCCACCACCGTCCGCATCACATCCCCCACTGGTGTTCCCAGCACCACTGTCCTCACCACCGCTGTCCCCACTGGTTCCACCACCGCCCCTACTGTCCCCACCAGTGGCCCCACCACTGTCGCACTGTCCCCGCTGTCCCCAGAACTGTTCCCACCACGGTTCCACTCTCCCCACTGTCTCCACGGCCCCAACCACTGCCCGACTATCCCCACTGTCCCCACTGTCCCACTGACTCCTCCGCTGTCCCACTGAGCTGTCCCACTGTTCCCACCACTGTCCCCACTGTCCCCACCACTGTCCCCACTGTACCTCTGTCCCATTGTCCCACCGCCGTCCTCGCCACCGCCTTCACCACTGTCCCCACCACCATTGTACCCTCCACTGTCCCACTGTTTCCACCTCATTCCCATTGTCCCCACACCACTGTCCCCACCACCACCGTCACCACCACTGTCCACTGTCCCCCCCTGTTCCCACCATTGTCCCCACCACTGTCCCCACCACTACCGTCCCCACCACTGTCCCACTGTCCCACTGTCCCCACCACTGTCCCGCTATCCCCTCACCACTGTCCCCACCAACACCGTCCCCACCACTGTCCGCACCCCCACTCGGTTTTCGAGGGGGGGGGGTTCGAACCGGAGTGACCCCCCCCGGTTTTCGGATCCGGAGGGGGGGGGAGGGGGGGGAGGGGTTCGAACCGGTAGTGACCCCCCCCCCTTTTCATGATGAGCAGGGGGGGGGGGGGGGGGGAGGGGTTCGAACCGGTAGTGACCCCCCCCGGTTTTCCGGAGGGGGGGGGGGGGGGGGGGGAGGGGTTCGAACCGGTAGTGACCCCCCCCGGTTTTCCGCCAGCAGCGGTAGAACACGCTCTTTCCAAAAAAAGGGTCCCAGAAACGGGCAGCAAAAACTGCTGGGAGATTGGAACTGGAGTTATGTTGTTCCCATCGCACGTAAGGACCACATCCCAGAAATAATTTCGAGAACCCCGAAAAGTATCGAAACAGTGTCGAACGAGTATCACCTCCCAGGACCCGACGCGTAAAAACCCTCTAGTTTTGATAGTGTCTTGGTGCTCGAACTTCTCTTCGGCGATGAATGCTACAAAAAACATCGTAAAACTGGAGTCGGAACCGACCAAAAAACGTCGACGAAAGAGTGCGAAAAAACAGCGCCGGAGCCGGCAACAAAAACTGCAAAACGGTGTCGTTCCTGGGCCCACCAGGGTTGAAGGGAGACGCAAAGTGCCTAACTTTGCGCAACGCGACCCGCGATGCGCCCACGTGCCGCCCCTTTGGAAAATAGAGCCGCTCTAGGCCTTGGACGCCCATGCCGAGGCTCATCGAGCGGAGCTGGCCGTCGAAATTGGTCGAGGATGGACCGACGTTGTCCGAAGAGGCGAGGGTGCAAAAGGTACCCTTGCTGTGCGGATTGACTGTGCAGTGCCGAGGGCTCGGCGAGACGGGCCCGCGACGGCGAGACCTCACGGTCCCGGGCGGGGCGAGCTGTCGGGCCCCGGTCGACGATGAACGGCGGGCTGTCGGGCCCCTGCCGGGAGTGCAAGACGATGCATTCCCCCTGGACCTGACCCCCCCCCCCTGACGCTGACCCTGGGCTCTCGGGCCATGGCTCGGGTCTCTGGCGTCCGTTCGGGACGATCCGGGCACACCCGGAACGCTCTGGGCGAGGCGCTGCCGCCAAGAGGCATACAGAGGCTGGAAAGCCGACGAGAACCGGCCCGGGGGCGGTGAACGTGTGCAAATCCCGTCCCCAGATTCGTTGGGTGGCAGGCCACTATGGCTCGACGTAGGCCCTCTCAGCTCACGCACGTACAGGTCACGTCACGAGCCGAGCAACCTGCAACCCAAGCCGAGAGGAGTGAGTGCCGATGCTGCTCTATGCAGCGCTGCACCGCCCGGGCCGACCCCGCCGCCCGCGCACACCAAAACGCCAATCTGCGCTGCGCTCTCCTGCTCAGCGGTTCGGGAGGTGGGGTCCTGAGGGACGGGGCCCGGAGGACAGGAGAGGGTCCACGGGAGGATCTGCGCTGCTTCAGGCGCCGTGTCCCGAGGACCCGACCCCTCAGGACCCCATCTTTGCACCACCGACCTGCGTCCCCTCCTCCCTCCTCCCTCCTCCCTCCTCCCTCCTCCCTCCTCCCTCCTCCCTCCCCCCCCCCTCCTCCCTCCCCCCTCCCCCCTCCCCACGAAGCAGGAGATCGGTGGGTCCAGCACTTTGCCTTGGTCGAGTGTGCGGCAGATGTGCCGATCTCTGAGGTTGAGATGTTCGACGGGTTCTTTGATGAGCTGCCGCAGAACCACACTCTCGAGCTGGCGTGCATCCCCTCGCTCACGGAGCTGGAGAGGGCCCTCCACGTGGCCAAGGACACAGCAGCAGGGGTCGATGGCTTCCAGGGGCGCTTCTGCAAGGAGTTTGCGAAGCCGCTCGCCAGGGCCTACATGCCGCTACTCACCAAGTTCTCCATCATGGGCGTGGAGCCGGTGCAGTGGAAGGGGGGCTACTACCGCCACCACCACAAGAAGAAGGCCATCGAGGAGTGCGCCAACCACAGGTGCTTCGCAGTCACTGCCACCATCGGCAAGCGAGCCCGACACTGCATCCGTGAGCGGTTGTCGCCGCACATGCCCAGTCTGGTGGGCCCCAGGCAGTTTGGAGGCATCCAGCGACGGGGCACACAGCACGCGCTCATCCTCATACGGCTCCTCCAGGCCACGGCAATGGCCAAGTCTACCACGTTTGCCGCCTTCTTCCTAGATGCCAAGGACGCGTTCTACTCGCTCGTGAGGGAGCTTGTCCTGCACACCACCACGAGCGAGTCTGGCCTCGACGCCATCTCGAAGTCCACGGGTGTGCCCGAGGACGCGCGCCGACCCCTCAGGCAGACGATTGGAGGGCCCCCAATCCTAGAGAGAAAGGGTGTGTGTGGGCACCTCCGAGCGCTGATCTCCGAGCAGTACAGGGCCTCCTGGTTTGTGTGCGAAGGCTCCGACCACGTTGCCCTTGGCACCAAGTCGTCCATCCCAGGTCAGCCCCTGGCGGACCAGATCTACGAGATAGCGATGGGTGAGATCACCGAGCTCATCGAACAGCGACTCCATGCTGCAGGGCTAGGCGTCTGGGTAATGGGCACGGACTCCAGGTCCCTGGCAGACCAGCTCGACAGCGAGGACGAGTGGCAGGAGCTCCCGTCTCACAGCGTTGCCTTCGCGGACGACGGCAGCTTCTTCTACCTCGGCGAGGCCAGCGGTGCTGCAGAGGCCCTGGCCCTTGCGGGCGGCATCATTCTGGATGCCTACGCCGAGTATGGCCTACGGCTCAACCTGGACCCAGGCAAGTCGGAGGCACTTTTCATGTTTGCGGGGAAGGGCTCCAAGGCTGCCAAGCACGACGCGTGGCACGTCCGCCAGGGCAGGCTTGCCCTAGTCTCCAAGTACTTCGAGGACCCGTCCGTCAGGCTGGTCAACTCCCACGTCCAGCTGGGCACGGTGATCGACGACCACGGCGCCATGTACCCCGAGCTCTACCGCAGGGCACAGTCCACCAGCAAGCAGCTGAGCCAACTCAGGCGCAAAGTCTGCAGAGAGCCAGGGGTCCCGAGGGCGGCCAAGATGGAGTTCGCGGATTCCCTGATCCTTGGATCCAGGGCATACTCCATGGGCAGCTGGTTGGGCCTCACAGTCGCGGAGAGCAAGTATTTCCATGGTATGATCATGTCAGTCTACAGGGCGGCCACGTCCAGCTCGCCCGTCAGACGGACTGAAGAGGAGGAGGGCGGCGAGCTCGAGAAAACGCCCGACGCTGCGGATGACCACGTCCTCCTCAGAGCAGGCAGGTCAAGGCCAGCCGACCTCTTGAAGGTCGCCCGTCTCCGCCTGTATGGGGAGCTGCTCCAATCAGGCCCCCCAGTGGCATTTGCCCTCATGGCAGGGCTGCTGATGGCCCCAGCGCCAGCCAGGCGTCGATCCTGGCCAGCTCTCCTACTGGATGACCTGCAGTGGCTCAGGCAGTTCTCCCACGCCTACGATGACCTGCCGCACCCTGTGGTGGATATCAGGCCGTGGGAGAGGAAGATCCGCAGCTCCCATACCACCTGGAAGCACAGGCTCAACGACGCGCTGAAGGCGGCGGCGGAGGAGCTTGCCAGGAGGACCCAGGCGCAGGAGGCGGCCCAGCACTTCTTCAAGACGGTGTGGCCAGCAGGTGTGCCTTACTCTACACGGCCAGGGAGCCCATTCGGACCACCAGCACAGGATGGACCAGCAACAGCTTGCGCAGAGGGGTGTTCCCAAAGTGCAGCCGTGTCTGGGTGGAGCTGCCCATGGTGTGCCAGTGGTTTCAAGAAGCTAAGGGGCCTACGAGTGCACATATCCAGGGAGCACTGGAGGATGCAGGACCTGGCGCGCAGGTGGCTGCAAGGGGCAACACAGTGCCCGACCTGCCTGATGCAGTTCGAGGGCGAGCACCACCTGATCGAGCACGCGGCCCACGGCTCGCCCGGCTGCCTGCTGCAGATCACCATGGCCTGCGTCCCCGAGGTCCTGAGAGGCGAGGCCGTGCAAGTGGCGGCCCCGCTCCCGAAGGGTGGCTTCCGCAAGCGCGTCAACGTGCCGGCGCAGCGAGCAGCAGGGCCACATAACCCACGCCTGCAGTGGGAGGATCTGCTGAAGGAGGGCCACTACATGGAGGCGAAGCACATGGCGGCCACGCTGATCAGATCCGACTACGCGCTGGACGAGAAGGCGGTGAATGTTCTCCTTGCTCGTGAAGGGGCCGCCCAGCCAGCAGCCGAGGAGGATGACACCCCCTTCGAGCGCTACACGTTGGACCAGTTTCCGACGGGCAAGTACGAGGGCATCGCGACGGAGCAGCTGCCCTGGAGGCCGAGGCGAAGGGAGGTCTTTGTCCTCAACCTCTTCTGCGGGGTCCGCAGGACAGACGACATCCAAGACTGCCTCGAAGCGAGCATCAGCTACGAGCAGATCAGCACGACGATCCAGATCGTGGTGCTCAGCATTGATGTCGCCATCGACGCGGAGAGGTGCGACCTGATGAAGTCGAGCAACCTCCGCACCTTCGGCGACGCCATCCGATCCCACCAGGTGATCCTCACGGGCGGCGGCCCGCCATGCGAGACGTGGAGTGCGGCGAGGTGGTCGGACATGCCAGGGCCGCCGCCGCTGAGGACTCACGACGAGTACTGGGGGGTGCTGCACGCCACCCCCAAGCAGCGGCTGCAACTGGCGGTCGGCAACGCGCTGCTCCAGGCCATGGTCCAGCTGATGGCCGACCACCTGGCAGCGGGCAGCGCGGCATGGATGGAGCACCCCATCCCGGCGCACTGGCGCCGCGAGGCAGTGACGAGCTGGACGTGGGAGCCACTCCTGGCGCTGCAGTCGTGCCCAGTCGTCAGCACCACGGACTTCGACCAGTGCGAGCACGGCGGCAAGGCTGGCAGGGCGCCGACGAGGATCGTCGGCGTGCGAGTGAGCGGCCTGCACCGGCGCTTGAGAGCGACGCCCGGACAGGGGCGTTGCTCGCATGGACGGGGAGCGCACTCAGTGCTCCTGGGTAAAGCAGAGACGGGGGGGGAGTTTAAAACGGCGGCCAAGAAGGTCTACCCCCCCGGCCTTTGCAGGGCCCTGGCCGAGTCGATTGTCCAGACGGTTGCTGATTTTTCGGCCCTGGATCCTGGGGCCGGGTCTCAGACCGAGTTGAGTAGTCCTGAGGTGGAGGGTCTTCGGGATTTTTTCGTTGGGTCCATACCTGAGGAGGGTGTTGCTTGGGCGCCGGATTTTAGGGCTGGGCCTAGGGGCTCTCGGCCCGTTCCCGAGAGGGAGCGCTTCAGGCGCCCTCTGGTCCGGGCGTTCTCGGGGTCCCAGTGCACCCCTCCCCCAGGCCCCAGCCAGCCGCCAGGCAGCCAGGCCCCCAGGTTGGACCCCACCGAGGACCCCACCCAAGAGGACCTTTACATAGGCTCCGTTGGGCTCGCCTCTCCCTTTGTCCCCCTTGCCCCGCCTCCTTCGCCTCTCCCGCCCCCTCCCCCCCTCCTCAGCGAGTCCCAACGCGAGCGAATTCGAGCGAACCGAGCCGAGGCGATGAGGAGGCGCCATGTAAGACGTGCCCCTTGGATCGCTCAATCCGGCTTTGGGTTCCTCTTTTAGAATTTGCTCCTCCCCTTTCCCAAGGGCTGGTTGAGCGCATAGCACGCCCTCAGGGTGGGCTATGCCCGACGCGCACATCAGCGGTGCGTGTCGGAGTCCCCTCGGCGCGTCGATTTCCGACCGAGGCCGCAGTGATCCCGCTGATCCCTCCCCCCTCCTTCCTCCTCCCTCCTCCCTCCTCCCTCCTCAGCTCGCGCTGCGCACCGAGGCCGGGAGAGCCCAGGAGCGCTCCCGAGAGAGGCCTCGGCAGCGCGCGCTCCATGCAGGGTCCCCGAGCCAGGCCACGAGGGAGGCGGGAGACGGAGGACTGGCTGGCGCCGGCCCTGAGACTTGGCCGGGGGGAGGGGGGCAGGGCGGGCCTCTGCGGCGGGCACGCGGGGAGGCGCAGCGCGCCCAGGGGGCGACGCGCCCAGTCGAGGACTGGGACGGGGCACCTGGGGAGTAGGAGGAGGAGGAGGAGGAGGAGGAGGAGGAGCAGGAGGAGGAGGAGGAGGAGGAGGATGAGGAGGAGGAGGGGGAAGAGGAGGAGGAGGGGAAGGAGGAGGAGGAGGAGGAGGAGGAGGAGGAGGAGGAGGAGGCGAGAGTGGCCCCGGTGATGTTCAAGATTGCTGCTGCTGCTGCGCCAGTGGTGCTGGCTTCCCTTGGCCAGTGCTGCCGCTGCGCCAGGAGTGCTGCTGGTGTGCCGTCGCGCCGCGCTGGTGGTGGCGGTGCTGCTGCGCTATTGCCGCTCTGCCGATGCGTGACTGGTCCTCTCACAGGAAGACCGTCTGTATGCCGCGATTTGCCACCGCACCATGGGAGGACTGGCTGGCTGCCGCCGATGGCCACAGCAAGACATCCCCCGCTGATAAGCTAGACTGCTTGTGCGCTGTCCATGAGCCCAGGTCCCTGGTCCCCTCACAGGGAGACTGGCTGGCTGCGGCCCTTGGCCACAGCAAGAGATGCACCGCTGATAAAGGAGATTGCTGCTGCGCTGCCGATGAGCGTTGGCCCTCTCACAGGAGGGCTGGCTGGCTGGGTTCCGCCCTTGGCTACAGCAAGAACTGCCCCGAGGATAAGCAAGATTACTGCTGCGCCGCTGATGAGCGCCAGCACTCTCACAAGAGGACCGGCTGGCTTCCGCCCTTGGCTACAGCAAGACGTGCCCCACTGATAAGCGAGATTGCTGCTTCGCTGTCGGTGAGCGTTGGCTCTCTCACAGGAGGACTGGCTGGCTGCCGCCCTTGGATACAGCAAGAGATGGCCCTGTGCTACCTGTGCTCATCAGACTTGCTGCTGAACGGTCTTTGAGCTCCGGTCCTCTCACAGAAAGACCAGCTGGCCGCCGTCCGTGGCTACAGCAAAACGTGCCCTGCTGATGATCAACATCGCGGCTGTGCTGACGATGAGCACTTGTGCGGTCACACATGAAGTCGACTGGTTGCCGCTCTTGGATACAGCAAGGAATACTACCACCGTGATACGATTTTCACAACGCAGAAGCATAACAGAGGATCTGTTATGGCCACAGGTCCCTAGGCCACGAAAACCTCCGATCTGCGCAACGGCCTGAAACAAAAACACTTCAGAGATCCAAGATGTTCCTCAATTCAGTCTTGACTGCACGACAATAACATCAAGATTGCTGCTGCGCCGTCTATGAACGCTGGTCACCTCACACAGCAAGTCCGCCCGCTCATGAATGCCGCCCACGCGCAAGCAGCCGCAAAGAGGCCTGTTGCCGCTGGCGCCGCCGCTGCCGAACACCACGCTCGGCCCAGTCTGCAGGTCCTGACGGATCAGGAAGGCAAGCAGCGTATCATCGCGGAAGATGAGGAGTATGAGAACGAGAACTCGATCAGGACATGAACGCGAGAAAGATGAAGCAAATGTGATGAGAAAGATGAAGAGCCGTCCTCCAAGGATGACGAGAATAAGGACGAGACGAGTGAGAGAGGGGAGGGGGAATGGAGGAGGAGGGGGGAAAGAGGACGAGTAGGAACAGGGAGGAGCATCTGCGCTGGACCCTCCTGACTAGCACGCGGAGCGTGGCATCAGGTCGGGCATGTCCATCTACAGGCGGATTTCCGAACAAGAGAATTAGACAGAAAATGCTCAAACATAGTCAAAAGAGCACGAAACATCGTCACCACTAAATGTCTTACTATTCTTGAGTATTCCTCCTGTAGAGGGACATGCCCGACTTAAGCGTGACACTAACGGCAACAAAGAGCCGACATGGGGGTCTTGCGCTGGCACACGAAATCAGACCGGCTACCACTCACAAAACAACATGATACCGGAGAAACAAAAACAATCAGGACTATGGGGCTAGGGGGCTAGGGGGCTATAGGGTTATAGAGCTATAGGGCTATAGAGTTGTAGGGCTATAGGGCACCCCCTGGCACCCCCGGGCACGCCCAGGCACCCGGGCACACAGGCGTGCAGCGAAAATCGGCGACAAACCTAACCTAACCATATGAATCCGCTAGGACCGCTACAGAGGCAAGCTCTGATTGGGGAACAAACAAGAGCACACACACACACACACACACACGCCTATTCAGGGACACACACCAAAAAAATGCGGACGCAGATCCCAGAACCCCCAATAGTTCCCAGAACTTTCTGGCTGCTCGTCTCCCACTCCATTTCCAGTGTACTCTCCCTCCTCCTCCTCCTCCTCCTCCTCCTCCTCCTCCTCCTCCTCACCCTTGTCTCCTCCCTCCTGCCTTCTCCCCTCTCACTCCGCGCTCCTCCCGCCTCCCTCCCCTCTCCGCCCTCGCAGTCGACGGCTCTCCTGTGCCCGTCCTCCTCCCACCTCCTGGGGGGGAGAGGGGCTCCGGCAGGGGCCCCGCGGGGGCGCACCGTGGACCGCGGGGCGTGTGCGGAGCGCACCGGGGCCCGGGACCTCGTGCCTGGGAAAGCCGGGGGGGAGCGCCTGGGAAGAGCACCTCAGTGAGGGGGCACGGCTCTCGGTGGTGACTTCGGCACCGCCCCCCCCCCCCCAGAGGCCCAGAAGCAGTCCCCACTGGAGGACGTCTGCGGCTGGTGACGGAGACCCCCACCCACCCCACCCAGCCCAGCCCACCCCGACCGGCCCACCCACCCCA